GGCGAGGCCGATCAGCCTCAACCCATTAGGGGATGTTTCGTTGTGAAGGCTGAGTTGTCCAACAGTTATACCAAAGATACCTTCTTTGCCCACCCTATCGTTAAAGTCGTCAAGCACAATTTTCACGTCATGTGGGGGCAGCCCTCGTAAGTATACTCTAGGCGCTCATAAAAGGCATCTTTGGCCCATCCCTTCCGTCGGGGCGTGGGCGCAAATCAGCGATATGTTGAAAAATTTTGCTTTGATACGGATTGTGGCGAGACGTTCATTCATCGGGGTTAATGCCAGTTCTCGACAACGGAGTCTACCCCCACCACGAAACCCCCACCAAATTTGCGCTCCTTTATATGGTCCCTGTAGTAAATGTCACAAGAACTTACTCGCTTTCGTCCTTGCCTGTCCATCACACTATTTGGATGGCGGTGATGTCAGCCTTTATTTTTACGAGGACATCAATCAGCTGGGAGCGGCGCCTTCCCAAATAAGGGACCCGACGTTCAAGGTGCATGCTTTCAAATCATGATCCTTAACTCGCTTGCGGGGGTCGTCAATAGAAAGGGGTGTCTCATCCGAGGCGTTGTTACATTTTTCATTGGAGCTGGTTTCTACGTGGCGGGTCCTAAACCCAGCGCACGACCTCGCTAGGCAACTATTGTAAATTATCCCGTTCGCATGCATAGTTATCTGTTTCGCTGCTTTTCTTCTTTCGTTTGACTAAGTAAGCAAATGCCATGTTGTTAATGTATTTATTAGTTTTACTTTTAGTAACAAGTTCAGGGCAATGAAAACACAAATGAAAGCTATTCTATTAGTGGAGATTCGAAGTTTTGGTTTCGAGTACTCTCCGGCTAATTTGATTAAAGAATTTAAAATGAAAAAAAATTTCATGAAATCAATACATTCAATCAAAATTATATTATTCACATTATTTGACCGCGTTTACATAATTTTATTTTTAATAAGGTGTATTATCTCCATTTATCAATATTCAATTAATATTTACTTTTCTTGTCAGCTGATTTCCGTAAATTTTCTATAAAAATTTGGAAAACCACAATTGCTTTATTTTATATGTTAGGCTGTGTGCCAATTGGGTGATAATTTTAAATTTTAACAGCCCACATTGAAATTCTGGCATTTGGCGTGGTGAAATTTTGACTTTTGAATACATGCTATGAAGAGCATGACAACCTAACAATAACAACAACAAATGAATGCATCCACATGCCATCCAATATAAAAAGCAAGTAACTTCATATTCGTGTTGTTTTTTTTGGAATTATTTTAACAAATTCTTGTGAAAGTCTTAAATGTGCCCGAATTTTCCTTTCGTTTTTGGACATAATTGTTTTGACACAAGTATTACCAGGCGACTGGCCCATTGTCTAATACTCTGAGTTAACAAGAAATCATTAATTGAATTCATTGCTTCTGTTTTATTTTCTTTGTAGTTTATTAAGTTTTACCAGTCCTAAAAAATATATGCAACTTCCTCTCAAGTTCTTTATTTTATTTATGCCGAAATTTATAAAAAAAAAAATTTCACAACATAGAAAGTTTTTCCCTCCTCATTTTACCACATGAGAAAAAAAAATACCGATTGGCGCACAGCCTAAATCGATAAATAACTACCCACTACACGAGATTGGTTTTATCGCCATTCCTTCAAGTTTTGAAGGCTGTGCTTTCCATTATGGTTCCAATGCTTGTTTCAGCCAAACTATTGGGTTGCCCAAAAAGTAATTGCGGATTTTTCATATAGTCGGCGTTGACAAATTTTTTCAACGGCTTGTGACTCTGTAATTGCATTCTTTCTTCTGTCAGTTATCAGCTGTTACTTTTAGCTTGCTTTAGAAAAAAAGTGCGCGAAATTTTGTTTACATTTGTTTGTTTGGCGTCAATTTTAATATGGAGCCCACAAAGGAGCATTTTCGTCATATTTTACTTTATTATTTCCGTAAAGGAAAAAACGCGGAGCAGGTTGCTAAAAAGTTACGAGATGTGTATGGTGATGAAGCCTTAAAAGGAAGACAGTGTCAAAATTGGTTTCGCAAATTCCGTTCTGGAGATTTTTCACTTAAAGATGAGCCACGCAAATTAGATATGCTTGTATAAATATATGTAGAAATGAAAGCATTAATCGAATTGGATCGTCATGTAACTGAGCGTGAGATAGGAGAGAAGTTAAATATACCAAAATCAACCGTTCATTATCACATAACAAGTCTTAGACTGGTGAAAAAACTTGATATTTGGGTACCACATGTATTGAAAGAAATTCATTTAAAACACCGAATCAACGCTTGTGATATGCACCTTAAACGCAATGAATTCGATCCGTTTTTAAAACGAATCATAACTGAAGATGAAAAATGGATTGTTTACAACAACGTTAGTCGAAAACGATCATGGTCCAAGCATGGTGAACCAGCTCAAACCACTTCAAAGGCTGATATCCACCAAAAGAAGGTTATGCTGTCTGTTTGGTGGGATTGGAAGGGTGTCGTATATTTTGAGCTGCTTCCAAGGAACCAAACGATTAATTCGGAGTTGTTGCTGTTGATCTGATCTATGTTTATTTATTAAAATTAGCACATAAATGTTAATAAATTATACATAATTTGTTGTTAATAAATTTACACTTTCATCACAAATTTTTACTTAGTACGTGCACTTATTTAACATACATGATGCGAAATACTAATTTTAATCTGCTGTATTTTTATTTCATTTGGTTAGCAGTAAAATATTATTTTACTTTTGTATATTATTTCGATATTGTTTTTCTATATAAATGTCTGTCAATAACAATAAGTGGGTGTTGCCATACGGAATAAAAATAAAAATACAACACTGTACAGGGTTGTATTTACACAATGATAATTTAAAAACATTTTTTATACATCATGAAAGCAATGACATAAAATATTATGCAAGGCGAGGCCGGTGTTGGTCCGGCTGACGGTTACAATTAAAAGCGCGGCCGAAGGCCACCAACTTTCAAAGAAGTTTCGCCTAAAAATACTGTGAAAGACGAAGCCGGTTTTGGTCCGGCTAAGGGTTACAATCAAAAACGCGGGCGAAGGCCGCCAACTTATGAACGAGTTTCGTCTAAAAATACTGTGCAAGGCGAAGCCGGTGTTGGTCCGGCTAAGGGTTACAATCAAAAACGCGGCCGAAGGCCGCCTAATTATATGTGACATGTTTTAAAATAAAAGAAATAAGAGCAAAGCAAAAAAAACGGTAAAATTTCGTATTTTTTTTTTTTTTTTGGTATGAAAAATTGACTACCGTTATTTTCGATGGCGTATATTAAAATAAAGGTAATAGTTATATATTTTGTTATTATATAGGTCTTAAAATTGTATTTAAATTTCGGATGACCCGTTTGTGGCACAGGTATTGCAGACATACTCAACGTATTGAGTCACAGTGGAAAGTCATGAAACGGTTTCTTCAAAAAGATAGCTACAATAATCCGGCTAATTTCGCCGACATGATTATTGAATACCTGTGGCGAAAATCTGTAAAAAAAAACAGGGAAGACCCGTTCTTAAAAATGATAGAAGTCGTCAAATATACATATAAAGTATAAAAATTTTATTCTAGCTGTTTTATTTTAGAATTTCTTTTTTATATGTGGCAACACCAAAGTTCACAGTAATGACACTATGTACAAAATAATAGGGTAAAAATTCAATTTTTTTTGCTATTTCAAATGTAAATATCTCGAAAACTTTTCGGTTTCTAAGAGAGGGTGGAGCTCCCTACCACCCCTTATAATTCATTTTTCCCAAAGACTAGAACCATAATGAAAAAGTTTCCCGTTTTTAATATGTAAAAGTCTGTGTGAAACTTTTTATTCTCATTTTTGTTGGAACAAATTTTTAATTGTTTTAAATGCGTGAACTATTTATTATTATACTAATCTTGTTTAATGAATACAAATTTGTCTAGAAATTATAAATATTGAGACCAAAATCTCATTTCGATGACGGAATTCGAGCATAAATACAATTTAATTAATTGGAATGTGCAATTTTAAGAGTGTTAAAACTGAAGACAAGATAAGATCGAACTTGTTGAATCGTGTTCGTTTGGAAGCAAAACATTTTCAAGAACACTACACATTGTCCCCTGACATTAAATGACCACTTCGGAGTCTTGCTCTTGCAGTCATATTTATAATAGACAATTTATTGTAACTACATCATCATTGCAATAAAAAAAAATGTATTCATAACCTTTGAAGCATATCAAAATGAAAAAATCGATAGGCCAACCAACAACTGTTGCATGTACATACAATTCACATGAACATTGCGCATGGGCGGAATGTAGTTCATTGCTGCGAATTAAGATAAATAATAAAATAAAGTAGAATTTTAGGTCAACTTAGATTGAATAAATGTACACCAATAATATGCATACATATGTTTACACGCATGTGCTTGTATGTGGTCAACTTTCTTTTACCCTCTTCACTTTCACTGCAAAATACAACTTATACCACGCTTTCAGTAATATATTGTAAAATACTTTCTTGGCATGTGGCAAAACACTTGTTATTGATATATATTTCATATGTACATATATATATATTTATGTGTGGATGTCTGTTTGCAGTATATGATATTATAAACGGATTTTTATAGATTTTAGATATAGTATGGAAATCTCTACCCTAAATTAGAAGAGTTAAACAACAATTCTCTATAGTATTACAGGTTGGAGTTTATCGTTTGCAGTGCATATGTATGTATATCGTTCAGGATTATTGTTTTTTTCTTTATTAACTTTTTTTTAAAAGGTTTCATCATACACTTTTAAATTTATTATAACGATTTTTTTTAACTTCACGCCTTAGTTATACTAATTAACTTCAATGTAAAATATTATAAATATTATTATTCAACATACTTCACGCGTTAATATTTTTCTCTTCTACTTGCTAATGGAAATCCTTTACCTACTTTTTATATACCTTTTTATAACCTAACCTTTTCATTCATCTCTCTTTGCTAAAATAAGTTTTAAGAAACTTTTATTTTATGAACACCATCATTCACTCTTTCATCCATTTGAGTATTTTCTGCAGTAAAGGTTTGACAACCGTTTTTTGAACTAAATTTTACTTGTTTTTACGCCAACGTGTTTGCAGTTACCTTCTGTCTACATACATTTGTATGCACATATAAATCTGTGGTTTCAATGTTGCACTGTTTCCAATAAGTTGATGGGATCGTTTTAAAATTTCAGTTGACCACTATTTCACTTTTAAAAAAGTTAGTTTCGTGCGGACACCAGTTTACCTACGATGCAAATTAGATATGCTTGTATAAATATATGTAGATATATATATTCGTATATATATATATATATTTATATATATATATATATATATTTATATGTATACATATGTATATACATGTATAATAAGTCTATATAACCATTGAAGCGATTTTTCGTCAAGCGTGTGTGTGTGTCTTGATGTTTTTCCATCAGATTTGGGTCCACGCCTCTCAATAGATTTTTATGACGTGTTTTTTTGCACTCGGAGAGTTAACATTCGCTTGCATGAGACGACCGCAATTAGAATCCGACCAATAACCTTCTACACGGTAGCCCGCACTGCTGACCACTCGGTTACTGGCGGTCGAAATTATATAAATATATATCTATGTATATAGTCGTTTCGATAAAATATACATAATATGTATACACATTTGTATTTATCGATTTTTTTGCGTTGCCCTTATTTTTTTTCATTTTACAATAACTAACTTAACAGATCCAATTTGAATTTGACATTTCTTTTAAAATGAAGTATGTGTGAACATTTTGTATTTTATTTAGTTAAAAAAAAATTAATACTTTTGTCACTAAAATGATTTTTTTTCTTAAAGCTATAGGTGCGTGTGAAAGACGACCACATCGGCGGTATATAGAAGTTTTCGTACTAGAATTAGCTGTATTCGTTTGTTGGCCTTCCGTTAGAGGAGCTAGCGAATTTACCACTGAAATATTTAATATGGTCCATTCTTGTGTTTGTGAAATATGGCTGTGGGTCGCCAAGTAAATATCCAACACTGCTTCTTCTTCTTTTAGTAGATTCGCAATACGCCGAAGCCAAAAAATATATCGTAGATTTCCTGGAAGAATTATTGTTGAAAATCTACGAAGCAGGAGAGCACGGTACACAGTGGAATGATTTGCTCACAGACAGGCGCACTGGCCAAGAACATAAGAGATACATACGAACGTACTTATTGAACAAGTAGGAAAAATATGAGAAAGTGTTTTGATTTCGAAAGCGAACTTTCACTACATGTGTTTAAATATGCAACCAATAACTAACGATTTATTCATATCATACTTCCCTCCGATATTTCTGCTTACATATGTACACATATATGCATATATGGATATGTAGAAATAATACATATTTATATAACAAATAATGTTTTTCTGTATTTCGCTTATAGTACTCGCAGACACTAAACTGATTTTGTTAAAACCGACAATGTTTAATTAGAACCCAGAGAGTGATGATGTGAGTTTTCTTTCCGAGAAGTGGAGCTAGGACCGGTTTACCCTAACGAATCTTATTCTTTGTTCGAGTTACTAAAATTTGGTAGACAGATAGCTCTTTACCTAAATTAAGATAACGGGCAGTTTTTATTCCAAGAACTATTCATTGTTCGATTTACTTGAAACTCCTTTTACCTACATTACCGATCTATCCCAAATAATCTTAAATTTGGTTGATTACTTGATATGTATGTAGTTTTGACTTGAAATTTGGATGTGGGAACTATATATCCCAAAAAAATTTATTTTTAGTTTAAATTTGGTAGAAAGGTTATTTAAGACAATTTACAGCAAGTAGACCTGTGATCGATCTATCCCAAAATGTCTTACTTATTGTTTGAAAAATGTTACACGGGTAGCTTTTTGACTAAACTCATGCAAGAAACATTATTTCCTCCGAGTAGAAGATAAAATACCGATTTTTTAAGACAAATAATATAATGGGTCGGTTTTCTTTTAATTATTATGCATAGGTATTATTTTGTTAAAAAAAATCAGGAAATTGACCATTTATTATGTTTGTATATTTTGTCGCGATATCATAAACAATTATCTTTCTCATATATTAAACATATATTAAAAGATCTATTAAAATAAGTATGATTTGCATTAAAATAAAGATCGTTCGTGTCGCTGCGCATTCGTCCATCAGGCGTATACTGTCGCGGTAACAAAATATACTTTGGTATTAAAATTTACCACTCATTAAATTTTGTTACTAAATATTTCGTATCCAGAGTTCACTGTCTGCCTGCAAATTTTGTTTTCCGCGAAATAGGAGGTAACAATAAATCTACTGTTGATTTTGTGTTGTTAGTTTAAGAAAAAAATAAAAGCCAAGACGGGTAGGCATATTTTAGACTTGGAATTCATTGAAGATGAAGGCGTATGTTTTATTGGAAGATAGCGTTTCCAATTAGTTTTATTTTTGCCGTTAAGGCATATTTTTCCAAATTAGGTGCAAATATATATGATTTAATAAACAAATAAATGAAACTTATTTATTCTGTTCTGCAGCGTCTTCCATTTCGATGTGAATATTCTTCTTTTTACTTTATGAACTGGCAAAAGTAATTTGATAAGGAGGAAAAGAGCAGTGCTGCCAAAGTTTTTTCAAACAGTGTAACCAGAACCAGCCAGAATATCAAATTCAATTTCGGGTGTTTCAAAAGTAACAAAAAATATTTTACCGGTAACAGTGAGAATAGGCCTGTATATGTGCTTTATAAAATCCCAAACTGTATATTTGATCATGCGATGATCTTTAGAAAAGTTGTTGGCCATCAGCCCACGAAGGTTTCTCAGTTCATATGACCAATTCTCGACTGATGGCGCCACATTTATTCCAATGAATTTCATATATTGCCCTAACAGTTCATGCTCATTTGAATTAAAACGAAAACAGAGAGCGATTGGTGATGTTTCGAGCTAAAGGTGACAAAAGAATTAATATAAATTGTAAAATTCACTTTTAACAGACAATATTGTGCGAACTTTTATAAATCAGTTTAGATCAATATATGGCAATAGAGAATTCATAAAGTCTACTTGATTCAAGGATTAAAGTAAAGTAGAAAAACTTTATTTATTATAGACAGTAAGGAAATTCTTGAGATTTCTTGTTCAATTGGATTACTGCTACAAATAATTAGTTGAAGGTCTTTTAAATATTTTTTTTTTGTGTCTACATTCTATTGGACAACAAAAGCTGCAAAATTTTATAAAACTGTTCTATATTCTTCGTATGACTAATAATAATATTGTTAAAAAGTTAGTAGAATATATTTTAATATATGGTTATGCCTCCCTTTGCTGCAATAAGAGCCTCTTGGGGCATGCTTCCAAAACAGGTTTTTGCATCTTCTTGGTGTTTAGAATTGTGATGATGATAAATGTTTCAAGCAACTGCTGCTTGATGGTAATCACTTCCTTAATAATCGTCCGTTTGGTGAGCTCCCACATGTTTTCTATGGAATTCATATCTGGTGAATTCCCTGGCTAAGACAAAACAGTGACATTTATTTCGGCCAAAAATGTGGTAACACTTTGACTTAGTGTTACGGTGTCGATTCATGCATAAAAGTGCATTCTTCATCATTAGGGAACCACTCCTTCATATGTGGCAGTAACTGTGTTTCTGGTACTCTCTCTTTGGCTGAGATACTTACCACACCATGACGCTAGCCGGGTGTTTCAAATGTTGATTCGTCGGAAATGCACACATGTAAAATAATAGAATAAATAGTAGAAAACCGTAAATAATCTATTGCATTATTCGAAAACATTGTACTGACTTTATTCCACTTGATGACGACCCCCGCAAATGTTTTAAAGATTACGACTTTAGGGCATCCGGTCCCTTCATTGGGAAGCTGCCGCATCATAAAATTATCATCGCCGTCTAATAAATGCTATGAACCCGACACGGATGGAAGTAGGTGGTCCCTTGTAAAATTTACTATATAACTACAATATAATTGTAATTTACAGTATAGTGGAGCGCAAATTTGGTGTCTGATTCCTGGTGGGAGAGAAACTCTGTCGCCAAGTACTGGTATTCATTTCGGTAGTTGAATGTCTCGCCACGCTAGCACTAGATTACAGATAGATCATGTAGTATGAGGAGCTTGATAAGCTGGCCGACAAGGGTGACGTTCGGAATTTCTACGAAAAAATACGGCGACTTACGGAAGGTGTGGTCAGGTGCATGCATCAACTTTTAGTGTGCTCTGCCCAATCCACAAAAAAGGCAATTCCACATTACCGTAGAATAAGTCGCTTTAACATCGCGTATTGTGTGAAAGGCTCAAGCCCACCGTCAACAAGCTGATTAGACCTTATCAGCGTGGCTTCAGTCCTGGTAAGTCAACCCTTGACTAGATATTCACCATGCGCCAAAGGGGATCGACATACACTACCTCTTCGTCGATGTTAAAGCAGCATTCTACAACCCGAAAGGGATCTATCTGTACGCCGTCATGTCTGAATTTGGTATTCTCGCAAAACTTATACGGCTGTATAAACTAACTATGAGCAACTCAAAAATCTCCGTCAGGATGAGGAAGTACCTTTCCGAGCCGTTCGATACCAAACAATTTTCATGAAAGATGACACATGTATATATGTATGTAATTTGGTCTAACTTAGATGATAGGATAATAATTATTAAAATAAAGGTCTCAATAATTAATAATTAATAAAAAAGTGATAATAAACGTTGATTGTTGTTATTAATCGTAGGCTCTATAAGTCTGGAACAGATGGCGCCTTGAGCGAATTTCTTTACAGAGAACTGTAAAACATTGTCCTTTGCACATCAAAGATGGAGTCACAACCTAATGGTATATATGCCTATAACACTTAACTTCGCGTCTTTCAAACCATTCTGCATATTGTCTGCGCTCCACACATTACTTAGAATATTTTTTTACTTCTAATTTATATTATTGGCGCTATGTAACCGCTGAAGCGATTTTTCAGCCAATATGTGGTTTTGCGCCATGATGTTTTTCCACAAATAGAGGACAGTTTATACTGAGCCACCTCCGAACGGTTGATGGTTTTTAATGTCCACCTTTTATTTCCGCAGCCACCAGTTACATAAAATAAGCCATATATATAATCTACAAAATCTGAGAAAGATGAAGTTTGTTCACATTAAAAATTCAAATACTATTTTTAGTAAAATGCGACCCAAATAATCCAACCTTAATGCTCGTAGCAAGAAGAGTCGATGTGCACGTGTTGAAGGAGGTCATGAATTACTTTAACAGAGAACAGAAATAAATGCAGCCCAAAGAATTCGCACAGCTGAAATTCGTGTGTTGCGCATCAGAAAAACTTGTATTGTCACCACTTCCTTCACCACTTGAACTTTTAAAGTCCCGAAAAATTAATTGCTGCTTCCAATGACGTCTTTTATAGCATCCAAAGTTTGTGATTTGTCCTCTGATAGTCCTAATTTTGAGACAAAATTCAAAATTCAATGCAACGTATATAAGGACCAGGGAAGGGATCTCCGACAGATTGACAAAAAATATTATTTGTGTACAAGATTAGATCGTGCGTATGTTTTTATTCCGCAGTTGGGAGTTTGAAGCACTTCTTAAACGTTCTATTGGTATATATTTACATGAAAGACTTTACGTAGATAATAAGCGATGCCAGAGCGATATTATAATATAATAAAAGCTCAAAACTTAGTATTAAATGATACTTAATAAGGGCTTTTTATGGTTTGAAAATCCAGAAAGCCACATCAGCGTGTGGCCGTTTCTGTTAGTATTGGGTTGAACAAAAAGTAATTGCGGATTTTTCATATAGTCGCCGTTGACAAATTTTTTCAACGGCTTGTGACTCTGTAATTGCATTCTTTCTTCTGTCAGTTATCAGCTGTTACTTTTAGCTTGCTTTAGAAAAAAAGTGCGCGAAATTTTGTTTACATTTGTTTGTTTGGCGTCAATTTTAATATGGAGCCCACAAAGGAGCATTTTCGTCATATTTTACTTTATTATTTCCGTAAAGGAAAAAACGCGGAGCAGGTTGCTAAAAAGTTACGAGATGTGTATGGTGATGAAGCCTTAAAAGGAAGACAGTGTCAAAATTGG